ATAATATAATATCACTCAACAAACATTTTTAATGTAATTTTTATGTTTGCAAATAAATATATTCATTGTCATTTAAATATATAAAGTAATTAAATTATAATTATTATTCAAATATCAGTTTGAAGGAAAAAAATCTTAACAAAAACATTATATAAATAACATCACTTGTAATTTCATTAATAAATAATTTATTAATAAAAACAACACTTATTATTTCAAAATAATTAGTAAATGTACTAAAAAAAAGTTATACTTGTTTTAAATGATAAAAATTATGAAAAACCCATTATTATAATCCCAAAAGGATTTGACCTTGTATTTATTAGTAAAAATGATAAAGACATTAAAACTATTTGAGTCTTTCTAAGACAGTCTATGTTTTAAATACAAAGAATTGATACTAATTGAAAAATAATTTTCTTTTATAGTTCTTTAAAATAACAGTTCATCATGGGCAAAAACGATGCTCCAATGGAAGTTTCAGCAAAAAAGAAAGTTTCAAGAACTATAGAAATTTTTAAGCCAAAGAAGATTGAACGCAGAGACCCACGATTTACAGAAGAAGGAGGTAAAGTTTCAATGTTAGGTTTTTGTAAAAAATATAAATTTTTAGAAGAAAAACAAAAAGAAGAAGCTAATGAATTAAGTAAGCAAATTAAAAATTGTAAAGATCCACAAGAACGAGAAAAATTAATAAAAAAACGACAACAATTAGTTTGTTTAAAATATAAAATAAAAAGTATTATAAAACAAAATACTACAATATATTTTCAAATAAAAATTATGTTAATAACATAATAGAACCAAAGAATTACAATGCAAAAAAAATATAAAAACGAAGAAATAATTAAACGTGGTTTGGTTGAAGAAAACCATAAACGAATTATTGAAGGAAAACAACCTAAATTCCTTTCAAAGCAAGAACTTAAAGAAGAAGTTGATAAACAAACTTATGGAGATCAATTGAAAAAGGTAGAAGAAAAAAGAATTAAGAGAGAAAGTGGTAAGTTAATGAAAAGAGCTCCACAACTAAGACGAGGAGTGAAGAATGAAAAATAAATTAAAAAATTTTTAGAATAAACTATAACTTAATTAAAATTTACTATTTTATAAGTAAAATAAAAATAAAAAAAGAAGAACTTAGAACTGCAAAGAAGAACAAAATTAAGATGAATACAATAAAATGGATAATTCTTATTTTTTGTTTTGCTGGATGGTACTATTTAGTTCATCACCAAAGAGTATCTGATTTAGAACTGATATTTAAATATAAATATAGTGGAAATCCAACAAGTGAACTAAATGCTGTTCCAATAATTACAGATATTGATGGAGATGGAATTAATGATATTGTATTAGCTCCATTTGCATCAAAGAAATTGTCTATGTATTCTGTTAAGAAAGGAAGTTTAGTGTTAAAGAAAGAAGTTGATTTACCAGAGAAGTCATTTCCTATTTACATTACAAGTGGATATGATAAAAAATATGATGATACTGAAAAAAGATCACAAATCATCATTGTGATTATGAGAGATTTTGAGGTTATTTGTTTTAATCCCGATTTAACTATTCGTTGGAGACAAAATTATTATAAATCAAAAGCTAAAGCATATGTACAAGAAGTTAGTGCTATTGTTGTTCCTTATGACATTCAAACCAAATATCAAGGAGCTGTTATTGCAGCATTTAGAACTTCATATGATGAAATGCTTTCTGGAAATAGAGCTGATAAAGAATTTGAAGAAGATTTTAGAGTTACTCTTCAACAAACATTTGATGAACAAAAAGAAGATTTAATTAATGATGATTTTGATCCAGAAGATATGTTAAAAGAACATATGAATTATTATTCATTTAGTACTAAAGATGGTCAATTAATTTGGCAACATGAAACTGATGAAAAAGATGAATACCTAGAATTAATAGAACAAAATACTGATGAAATTGAGAAATATAAGAAGTTCAAAATATTTAGCTCATTTACAGAAGAATTTGGTGAAATACAATGGCATGAATTTCATGATGCTGTATTCCAAAATATGCCACATCAATGGACATCATATTATGACACTAAAATAATTCCTTCTCATTTTGCACGAGATATGGTTAATAACCCAACTCAATTAATTAATCCTAAAACTAAAGACATTAAATATCCATATAACTCATTTGATCTAATTAAAAATCCTAATGTATTTGTTGTACACCAAAAAAATGGTATTGAAGTTATTCATTTATTTACAGGAAAGCCATTACTCCATGTTTCGTTATCAAGCTCAACACTGTCATCAGCAAGTGCATTCGCTGATATTGATGGAGATGACTCATTAGATGAAATATTTACTCATCAGTTTGCACACACATTAGATTATTCAAGAGTTGATGATGATATTAGTTGTCAAGTTCAAGCTATGACAATGGGAAGTTTCAAATTTTTATTCTCACAGAACGCATGTACCAAAGCCCGTAGATTTGATTTATTAAGAAGAAAGCAAGAAAATGTGGAAGTTATTATTTTACCACCATTATTAGTTCCAAACCAGGAAATTGCCCATGATGGTAGACCTAAATTTGATATTATACTTTTAAATAATTTAGGGCTAATGACATCTGTATCCAATAATGGTGCATTAAAATGGCAGGCTGAAGTTCAATCGTATTGGGACCTTGAAGAAAAGAATGCTAAAACTTTCAAACCTTCTATAGTATCATTCAAATTCACTTATGGAAAGAATGAAACAGATCCATTTATTGTATCACAAGGAAGTAGATTTGTAAATGTTGTAGATTTAAATGGTAATGTTATTGCTAAAAAAGAATTTGATCATATTTGTAAACCAATTATGCCACCAGTATTTGGTGATGTTAATAACGATAAGAAAAATGATATTGTCATTGTTACTGATGACCATATAATGGCTTATAAAATGGAAGTTGTTCCATCAGTTGAATTCTTACCAATTTGTATTGCTTCATTGATCATCTTAATATCATACAATATTTATATTGTTGCTATTAATTATTACAAGAAACTTGAGTAAGAACAAATTCATTTTTTTTGTTATTATTTTTTGTTATTATAATATAGTTAAAATATTATAATAAATATTATCATAAATATTATTAATTTTTTAAAGAAAAAGAACTAAAACAATTCTGAATGAGTAAACTTTCTTGGCACGCCACAGCTTCACTTTTAGAAGACGTTGATTGGCCATTTTATGTTGTAGTAACTTATGGACATGGGTATCAATATTTTAGTGGTATATTAAGAACATTTGATAAATATGGTTTGTTATTTGAATTTATGATAAATGGATTAACATATGATAGGAAATATTTCATTATCTGATTGTCAAGAACATATTTATTTTAATGGGTTCCAAGCTCATAAACCTTTAGGAAAAGTACTAACTGTTTTTGGCGATTCAGTTGCAATGTGTGGAAGATATGATGTTTGTCTTTTCGTTTAAGATTATATCTATTCATTCATTTATCAAATAGAAAACAAAGTCAAAAAATATTCCAGAAAAACCATTTGCTGAATTAGAACGAGAATATAAGAAATCTGTTACATTCTGAATATCATTTTATTAAAACCTCTTTTTTAGTTTTTTAAATGCTATATTTAAAATTTTTTGGATTAAGAAGTTAATTATAAATATACTATTTTAAAATAATTTCATTTAAAAAGAGAAAACCAAAATTTAAAAATAGTTTGATAAAATTAAAATAGAGAAGGTTGAATTAACTCGAAATTCAAAGAGATTTGAAATAATCTCAAATTCATTTTCATCCATTATGTTTCCACAAGACAGAGAACGAAAAGACAGACTAACAGAAAATAATAAAAAAGACCCAATGCTTCAGGTGTTGACTCAATTATACTTTTCAAAAGGTGGAATTAAAAAAATAGCAAAACAAGAACTAACTCAACTTGATTCAGCTCTTGCAGTTAAAACACCAGAGATCACTCCAACTAAAGGAAAGCCAACATCAAAATTAACTACAGACTCCCAATATCTTTTTAAAAAGAAAACTGAAAGGATTACATCTCGTATATCTCAAGACTTATCATCTCAACACAACCAAGAAGTGAAGAAGAATCCAGAAGTTGTAAGAAAAGTTACTGAAAAATTAAAACAGTCAGTAACAAAAGAGAATGATAAAAATATAACTATTCAAAGAACACCATCAATTTTAAGAAGTTCAATTAGAAAGTCAATAATAAGAAAAGATGAAGAAGAAAATACAAAACCTACAACTGATATTTCATTACCGTCAAAAGAGTCTCAACAACTTGTACGTCATGTAACAGAAGAATTAAAAAGAACATCAGTAACATTAAAACGAAGAACATACGCACCATCTATTTGTACTTTACTACTTGTTTCACAAAATGGAAATGAAAAAAATATTATTACGGTAGAAGTAGTAGCATCATACTCTAATTTAAATTCAAAAATTGGGGGTATTCTTATAGATGATAATAAGAAAAAGTTATATGTCTGGAGAGGTAAAGAAATAAGTTTACAAGTAAAATCACAATGTGCAGATTTTGCATTAAAATATAAATCATTTGAAAAGCCATGTTATAAAATAGTAATTGAAGATGAAGGAAATGAAAATGAAGAATTTATTAAAGCAATTGGAGGAAAATATGGATTTGATCAAGGAAGAATAACATTAAAATTAGAAAGATTAGAATATGAAGAAAAAAAAGTTAAAAAAATTCTTGTGAGTCAAGACATTCTTTCTAAAAAAAGTCTTAGTGGACTTCATATGTTTTATATAACAACAGGATGGAATTCATTTTTATGGTGTGGATTAAAAACATCAAAAAATGCAAGAGAGACATGTGCAAAATTATGTGGGTCATTAAAAAATGGAAAATTAACAATTGTTTTTCAGTCAAGAGAACCACTTTTATTTAAACAATTATTTAGTGATTGGATTGAACCAATACTTTCAAGACCAAAAATTTCTAGTACAACAATAAATATAAAAAAAGAGTTACCACCATTTAATGTTGCAGTACTATTTAATGAAGTTGAATATAAAGAAAAAAAAGTACCAGAGTTTAGTCCAGAAGGAATATTTAAAAAATATAAAGTTGAAAATATTTCACTTCAATTAATTGAAGAAGAAAAGAATCGTTTCATATTAAAAAGTAATGAATGTTATGTATTCCATTATACTTATCCTTGGAAAAATTTATTTAGACATGCCCTTTTCTTTTGGTTAGGAAAAAATGCTTCAATTCTTCATAGAGGAAAAGCTGCTGCACTTACTGTTGATTATGTTGAAAAACATCAACTAGATGCAGTCCATGTTAGGGTTGTTGAAGGGGCTGAACAAAGAGAATTTATTGCAATGCACAAAGGTGGTATTATTATAAAAAAAAGTATTTATCCAGAGAAATATGAGTTATATGAAATTAGAAAAGAAAGAGGAACTGAAGGTATTAGAATAATACAAATTAATCATTTAAATTTGATTGATTATAATAGAAGTTATTTAATTAATATTAATGGAAAAGGAATTATTGTAGAAGGAAAATATTGTCCTGAATATCAAAAAATTAAAGAAATTATTTTAAGAAGTAAAATTGTATTTGATTGTTATAAAGATACTATTGAAAATATTCAAAAGTATCAAACTTATAAAGAATTTAATTATCTTTTTCAAACTTCATTACCAGAATTTCCACATGCATTTACTATTAGTGCATGTACAGGATCTATTGAATGGGATGGATTATATGAATTAAATCTTCAAACACTACAAGACCAAAGAATTATTGTTGTAACATTTGGAAATAAATTATATTTTTGGGCAAAATTAGAAGTTAGATTAACAGAAATTATTAAATTATTAAAAACAATGATGGATTATGTTGAATCAGCTAAAATAAAAAATATCACTCTAAATCCTTTATTTATTAGACCTGATGAAGAACCTGAAGAATTTAAAAGATTGTTCTTTGGAAATCAAGAATTAAAAAGAAAAAAAGAGGTTATTGAAAATGTTAATGATATTTTTCTTCAACTTACTCGTAAATATTCTCTTGCTGAATTACAAAAAAAACCAAAATTATTAACTACAGTTGCTTGTGGTTCTCTTGAATCTTTTCTTGAAGATAGTGTCTTTGAAAAAGTTTTTGGAATGTCTCGAGATTCTTTTGCAAAACAACCTCAATGGAAACAAAAAAATGCAAAAGCTCGTGTTGGGCTTTGGTAAACAAATAACATTATTTAGTATATAATTCATTATTTTTTGTTATTATAACCCTTTTTTTATAACAAAAACACTTTTTTTTTCTGTTCTTTTTTGTACAAAGATTTTTAAATGTTAAAATTTCCTGAATAGGCTAGCTTTTTATTTTATGCACAAAAATCAAAATATGTTTTTTTCTTGAAGAATAAAATCTAAACTACGATCTCATATTATTAAATGAGTACCTCTCAAGAAAAAGCCCAAAACCAAGCTTCTCAAGCCAGAAAAGGAGATTGTCAAATTGCTATCATTGGAGATGAAGATAGTGTTACTGGATTTCTTCTTGCTGGTATTGGATCTATTGATAGAATGAAACGTACAAACTTTCTTATTGTTGACAATAGTTTGTTTACTTATTATTCATAACAACAATAATTACATACTTATGATTAACAGAAACACAACACGATAAAATTGCTCAAACGTTCAATGAGTATGTTAATAGAACTGATATTGCTATTGTTTTAATAACACAAAATGTAGCAGATTCAATGAGAGACATTCTTGATGGATATGATAGATATTTACCAGTCATTATGGAAATTCCTTGTAAAGACCATCCATACAATCCAGATACTGACTCAGTCATGGTGAGATTAAAGAGAATGACTGGAAGAGATTGAATAGTTTTTAATTTTTGTTATTCTTTTTATTATTAAATTTTATTTTATGTTTTAAGTTTTAGAAAAAAAATGAATGAATGACATTATTTATAAAAACAAACATAAAAATTAATATCTTCTAACAAAAAAATTAACTCAATTTGGTATATTTAAAATTGAATTATAAACATTGTACTTGTAATGAAATTAATAAAGAATAACATTAACACAATTCAGTTATTATTATTTCATAAAAACAAAGAATTATTTATAAGGAACAATAATAAGTAATCAAAAAATATATAAATGACTTAAAAAAAGATACTACAAAAAAGAACAAAATAAGAAAAATATTGAATCAATCAAATAATAAAGAGAAAACTAATTAAAAAAATAAATAATTAAGTAATTTTGATTAGAAAAAAGATAAAGAAAAGAAGAATTATAGTGAATAGTGAAAGAAATTAAACTTAAAGAAAATAAGAAAATTAAAGACAATCCTATAAGTTAATAATAAAAAATTAATAAATAATTTATCTAACAATTTCTCTAAATTATTTTATTAATAATAGTTTTCATAATAAAAAGTAATTAATTTTTTTATTTAATTATTCAATTAAATATTACTGTATCCACTCTTTTTTGTTTTCACAACAGCAAAAATAATTGCTATAATACCAGCAATAATAGTAATAACAGCAACAACAATGAAAATACCAATAAAGACTTTCATTCCAGTTGAAAGTCCATTTTCTTCATCACTTCCTTTAATATGAAGTGTGTAATCAACATTTTCATTAGCATTAATACCAACTTTAATATAATAACTTTTTTCAGTTAAATCTAAATTAAATGTTGTTGTATTTTCATTTTTACTTATAGACTCAATACATTCTTTCATTTCACAATTTTCAAATACATGAATTTCATATTTAACGTCTTTACTAACAGTAAAAGTAATTTCAGTTTCTTCAACACCAATAATATGAATAATATCATATGAATATACTTCTTTACTACATCCATCATTACTTTTTGGAATACCACTATATACTGTTCTCATAAGAACCCCTCCTTGTTCATCTACATTAAATTCTGTAGAATTTTCACATTCTGGTGCTGTATTATATTTTAATTGAACAGAAACACTTCCTTCATTAAAGTCTCCTTCACTTCCACCTAATAATTCAACTGTCATTGGCTCTCCAATGAATGTAGCAATGATACCATTTCCATTTTCACAAATAGATTGTTCAGGAACTTCACATGAATCTTTTTTATGAAGAATAACTTGTACAGCTGCAGTTGATCCACAAGTACTAAGTGTTATAGGTACTTTAGCCATATCAGGAAATTCAAGGAAAACACCTTCAGTTAATCCAGAACATGTTGATGATACTTTTGATGTTGTAAAAACTTCTTCATATGGAAATACTGTAACTGAAACAGGATTTTCTGAAGAAGATATTTTATTTTCTGAAATAGAAATAGATACAACTCCACTTCCTTTAAGAACTAAGTAAAGACTTGATTTTGCTGCTACTGTTAAGGTAGAATGTTTGGAAAGAGCGTCAATACATTCACTATCACAAGTGTTATGAACTGCAATAGAACTACCTACATCAATGGTATATGTTTTGACTATCTCTCCATCATTCTTTAATTCTATCCAAATAGAACTAACATCTTCAGAATCTTCTCCACATATTCCAGGATGCTTTGAGTTTGCATCAAATGTAAATTCTTCATTAAATGGATATTTGACAATTTGGTATGGTGAAGAGCATTGAGAATAACTACTTCCATCAATAGCAAATGCAATAGTAATAAAACAAAAAATACCCAACATTATTGATTTTTAAGTTCCTATAAAATAACTTTTGAATATTATTTTTTGTTTGGATTGTCTCCAAAAGAACTAAATAAAAAATCTTTTACTATAATCAACTTATTTTTTTGAGATGATTGAATTTTTGTTATTCTCATTTTGTTTTATAAAATGAAAATGATACACTAATAATAAGAACTTCTTATTTAACAACGTATTAATTACATTAGCTTTTCTAGACTATTATATAGTGCATCTCTCATTTTATCTTTCAACTCCTATAGTCAGTACCAATGAACAGATAAAACACAATCATTTTAAATTAGTAACAAGAAATTTTCTTATTTTAGAGGTAAATTAAATCCCGAAACGATGTTCTAGTAAAAAGGCTAATTCACTATTTATTTCATTAATTCACCCTCAACGCAATAAACATATTCAGATCTTATGTTTTATCCATTCAATATAAAAAAATAAACCAGTTATTGGAGAGAATCTGTTTAGCAATTTTAACCTTTGTCATAGTAATTCCTTTCTTGTTCTTTTCAAATTCAGTTTTATACCCACAAATGGCAAAAAAGTTACAAAAAAAAATAAGAAAAATAATGTTTTGTATAACACCTAACTTTAACTTTCTGAATATTTCTATTTTCTGATTTTTTTAAGACTAGATAGTTATGTGTTTTGGTATGAGAAGTAATTTACCTTTGGACGTAATAGTGTTGGTTTGTTTATTGAAAGGGGGTAGTGTGAAAGTTGATGAAGGGTATTACCATTTGTAGTATTATCAAAGAATAATAGAAAATACATCTAATACCACTTACTTTAACTACTTTTCATTTGTTCATTTATTAGAATAAATTATTTTGAATTATTTTGAATTATTTTATTAATGAAATTAAATATAAAGAATATATAAAGAGAGAATAAATGAAAAGAGAAATTCAGTAGAAATAATAATAATGAAATAAAATAACGTTATAAATGATAAAATTATTGAAATATCATTCAATATTAAATTATTAATTGAATATAAATATTTAATAATATTATTATTATTTTATTCATTACTACAATTGAACAAGAGGATATGATACTCAAATGAAAAAATAACACAAAATATAATAAAAATTCAATAACAATTCATCAATCTTTTAAATATAAAAATCAACAAACTCACTGTGTTTTAAAAAACATAAATTCCTAATGAATTATAATAATGTTATAATATTTACTTTAATTATACTATCTCCAATTGACTTTGAGACTTCAATGACTTAACTAACAGTACTTTCTTTGCTTAAATAATTGTCTTGTAACGTTATCCAAAGGGGTCTATACTATACATTATTTTTTAATTATTTTTATTTCAAATTGTGGTTGATTTCAAAAAAACTCTAAAAAGCAAAACAAATACGATTGATTAATAACCAACCGACAACTGTTGTGCCAGGTTATAAAACTTCTCTTTGCGTCGAAGGTTAATTCGTTTATTAATCCAATGAGAAAATAAACTAAATACAAAAGCTAGGAATGATAACAGCATTGCTGAAACAACAAAAATATCCCAAATAACCGCTGAAATATCGTCCTCAGGCATGAATAAAGAATGAATAGTTAAAATTCAATTTTTGAACTATTTTTTTGTTTTATAAAACATGATTAATAAACCCTAAAAAAAAAGAAGATAGAAACTGAAAGAAGAATATGCAAACCAACGGATTTGATGTTGAATCTGTGAATGTGTTTCTTGAAGAAGTACGGTATGGAGAATTAGACATTGTTAAATCATTTATTGAACAAGACCATGATATCTTAACAGTAAAAAATGAATATGGAAATTCTGCATTACATTATTCTTGCGGAAATAATAACTTAGAAATGACTTCTTTTCTTTTATCTTTTGATGAAATTAAGAGAATTATTAATGATAAAAATGAATCAGGAAGTACTGCCTTACATTGGGCTGTTCGTGGGGATATTCAAATCGTTCAGATGATGTTAGATGCAGGTGCTGATAAAACAATTCTTAACGCCCAAAATAAAACTGCTATTGAATTAGCTGCTGAAGAACATAAAGATGATATTGTTGCTTTATTAATTGGTCCAGTTGCAGATGACCTTGTTGATGATGACAATGGGGAAAGTGCTGGTGATGACATTATTGTAGAAAGTATTTCATCAGATGACAACACACAAAACAAACAAGAAACAAAGGATGAAAAAACAGATTAAGCTCTTTTAATTGTTATTTGTTGAATATTAATTTTTGTTATTCTTTATTTAAATCACTAAATAACTAAATGTAAATAAAAACTAGACTTAACTAATTAAG